TTCTAAGAGCATTGTGGGCATGTGTGATGCAGGTGAGGATAGATCCTAATAACACTTTGAACTTATCAGAACACAAATAAAAAATAAAGTATGGCAGCACTCTATAATGTTTAAGAAGTGATTAAAATTGATTGTATTTTTCTTTTAATTTCGTTATCTTATATGGTATATATGTGCATGTGTGTGTGTGTGGATTGGGATATTATATTAAAAAGGGCATTCAATGTCATTTTAAGTTTAATTAAGTTATAAACTTTTAGATTTATTTATTTATTATTTTTTTATTTGTAGAATCAATCGTAATTTTAAATAATATTAAAATGGTGTGAAACTTATAAAAATGTTTCTTCTAAGTCAATGATGGGAATACTTTAATGAAAATTTGAGCCATTTTTTAGCTATCTTGATTTTCCTATAATTTTCATAGTATTTTTAGATATAAAAGATGATTTAAAAATCAAATTAATTTTGAAAATTTTGAAAATTAGCAAAGAGGCCAGGGAAACTTACCAGGAGTTTCCATAAATTTAATTTAATTGGCTAAATTCAACTGTTAACCTAAATCCAACCAATCTAATAAAAGGTAAATAATTTTAAGCTAGATTAAACTCTACTAAATTTGAACCCAACATGGCATGTTAAAAAGTAAGCCGTATTAGGAAAATATCAATTTGCCATACAATAATAATTATTATTTGATCTTAAATGGATCAACTTGAAATAAAAAAATAAATATATATATATATATATATATATAATTTAATTTAATTTAATTTATCAAACAACTTGTATAATTATTCTTCTTGAATCGACCTACATGCGCTTATATATATATATATATATATCTCAGCAGGGACTATTGACTTCTCAGGTTAGCACTAGAAGGAGGGGAAAATCCACTTCTTTTGGATGATGAATTTTTTGTACTGGAATGTTAGGGGATTGGCTCGTCCTAGGTCCCTTAACAGACTCCTTGCCCTTAATAGGATGTACAAGTTCTGGATTATTGCTATTCTCTTCTTTTAGGTATAAGTCGCATGAGTCTAAGAATGTTAGTAGCTAGGCTTCAATAACCCTTAGTTTAACCTATTATTATAATAGGAAAATGAGCATAGCCTACTGTTTTACCTAGTGAGACAATGTGAATTATCCTATTACAACCAGATCTTGTTGAATCATTCTAAGAATAGAATAAGACTAACCAATCACTACGGTTAGTTCATTCAGATGATCATGATGAGGTTAGATTGGTGACCCTGTAAAGATCCTACGGAATGACCCTTAGCCCCTGCACAACATATCTTGCACTTAGATGCTAGCTCAACAATACTTTGTAGTTTCAGTTTATAATTAAGGCTAGTGTGTAGCCAGGGATTTTCATGCACAACTAATATTCTTTGTCTTGTGCTAGCTTTTGTACACCTTGAGTACTTTTTGAATGCCTTTTTGGGTGTAAAATTTGTGGACTTGTATATTATGATATATCCTTCCTTTCATGGTGCCTTAACTAAAAGGGAGGAGCTTAATGATTTGGACTAATGCATTTTCTGTAGGTGTTGTTTAGCTCTCCTCCTACAAAATATTCCCTTTTTATGTGTTGCATGATACAACCTTTATTAACTTATGTTTTATATGTTGAGTTTATTTTAGATTTTTCTAATTGTAATTTTAGATTCCTCTAAAAGAGTATGTACTTGATAAGGTACAAGCGCGAGTCTTGGAGCTTGGAGTGGAAATCATGTAGAGAAGACCAAAAGCTGTTTGCTCTACCTCATACCTTAATTTTATATTATACATTTTATTGTATAGTTCTAGGATTGAGTATGTAAATTCTAAGCATGAGCACCCTTTTTCTTTTATGGGATTGTAGCATCCAAGTGGAACCCCTTTACTTTTCAGCATTTTGCTTGTCTTCGCTCTTTCTTATGCCTATAGTTTGTTTGGATATGTTCAAAGTAGGCTCACAAAAATAAATATTTATTATAAAATTGAATCTTAAAATATTTATTCTTTTCAAATTTAATATTAAAATATTCAAAATTTTAAACTATGTTATTTAATTTCCTACTCTTAATTTCTTGCATGGTATTTTGATTGATTTTAAAATGATCATATAATGCTCTTAAGATGTCTTAGTTTGTCTTAGCTTACTGCATGCATACTACATTATCCGAGAGATGTAATCTTGCTTTCCAATTTGACTAGCCCATCATATATCATTATATGATGTTAGAGGTTTTCCCAATCTTGATAGGATAATAAATCCTTCGCGGGGGTGGTTTAGCATCGTAGCTAAGTCGTTTGTTCCCTCTCATTTAAGTTTCCCATCCATACCCTAGGCAGGTATAATTGTTATTCTCCCTTTTTAGTCCTGATAGAGTCATTAAGCTTAGCTATTTCTTTCCCCTTGCTTAGGATCTAATGCATCATTTCAGACTATGTAACACATGGGTTACTGAAGAAGTGATCCTCGGCTGGGTTAGGTTGACTACCTTCATAGCTTAGTTGATTTGGAGTCTCAGCAGCCTAGGAGAATGAGTACATGAAGCACTAGCCAGACTATCTCTACATGTCTAGGGTTTTCTTCGAACTACATGTTGATTTACCTTCTTAGACACACTCATTTTTTTTATTGAGTCTTTATAGGAATGTATGGTAAGCCCTCTTAGCTTAGTGACGTCTAGCTGTCAAGTTACAATTATTCATCATCTACTTGACAACTTAGTTGTGCCATGCTAACTAGATGATCTCCCCTACTGGGACCACCAAAAATTTCCTTGGCTGCATATATTTCAAAATACTATTTTAAGCAAGCACAACACTTATTATCACGAGTCTTCTTGGGTTCTAAATAGGAAATAATTAACCACGGGGATACTTCATCGTGAGAGGTCTCTTGAACCAAGGATAAAATAAATTTTCTTTGTATTATTGTTTGGTCATGGAAGTCATTTTATACGATCTTTTTCGTATATTTTCTTTGATAGAGTATTATTTGATTTACCTTGGGACACTTCTCTCCGAGTTATGTTACAAGAACTTTGCTATATAAATATTTTTGTTGCAACTCCTTTTTTTTTGTTTTTATCTAGTTTCAATCATACCCTTATTCCCTTACTTTTCTAAGTGATGGTGACTTAAAAGAGAGAGATTTGAAAAAAGACGAACACTAAGAGGGCTATTTCTTTCATAATAAAAAGGGGTGTGAACATCTTGTTTCCACACCTTCCTTAAGACACCTAAAAGCTTTTTAGCATGATAGAATACATCTCTTGAAAATAAGCCTTAATGCCCCACCAAATCTCCTTAGAAATAGAGGAAGGTTGCACTAAGATAAACTATTTATATTTTAATAAAAATTAAACTATTTAAATAATTCTCACATATATAATCATACTATTTTGTGTTAGTAGCAACAATGGCTTTGATGCTATACAATACATAATATTACTTGATTTCAAGAAAAGAATAAATCTTAAAATTTATATATTTTTACATATAATTTTATAAGGATCATTTATGTGTATATTTATTTCATAGAAATATAGTTACATTATTATTTATTATTTTGATATAAATAAATTTTTATGTATATTCACTCTATATATTCACTCTTTCATTAATCCAATTTGATTTTGACTTTTGAATTGCATAACTGAATAAAAATTTGTATTATGTCGATTATGTTGCATCTTCTAAAATATACTTCATTGTATTATGGTTGTTATATTATATTTCATATAATCTAGCGTTGTGGCAGCACTCACTTTATTATATTAATCTTATATTTTGTTATGTTAAAATCTATCTTCAGATTTTATTTGAATATAATTGATTATTGATCAAATCAAGTTTTAATCTTATTAGAAGAAGTATTGAACCAAGTCTAAAAATGATTTGAATAAGTACTGAATAAGATTCAAAGATAGCTCCGAGAGGGCATGAATATGGCACTAAACTTGTAAGAATTAATTCCAAATCTTATAATAACTTTTTACAAATTAGTTTTAATGCTAATATACACACTTTTGTGGTCAAAAGTAATGGTCTAAGGGTTCGAAATGAATTCATAGGGATGTTTCTCCATAGAAATAAATAATGAGTATATTTTTTCATGTTTCTCTTTTAAAGAAAAAATTATTGCATACGGATGCATGCGGTGTCCGATCCTGATCGTAGATCACGGTGATCTACGGGTGATTTACGGTCAGGATGTATTTAAAATTTTTGTTTAAATTTTTTTTTGAAGTGGGACCCACCGAAATACGTCCTGACCGTAGATCACTGTGATCTACGATCAGGATCAGACACCGCATGCATCTCTGCATGCGGTGTCCGTATGCAATAATTTTTCCTTTTAAAGGACATACAAAGCCAAATTTCAATTTTTCTATGACTTTTCTAGAAAGTTTTAATAACTAAAAATTACTATGTGGACCATAATACTAAGAATAAAGTTAATTTTTTAAATGTATGAGTTTAAGAAAATTATTTGTGATTTATCACCCAATTATTTTTAAAAAGGCATCGGTATAATTAATATTCACATCTTAATTATGAAAAACACAATCCATGCTAATTTTTAAATTGTCATCAAAATATCAAATTTTAAAATAAAACTCTAATTATTTTTTTTAGTTGGTTAAATTCACAATAATTTGTTCATGACATTTAGAAATATATAAATTATTTAATTAAAAATAAAAATAATTTAATTTTGTAAATACAATGGATGTAGGTGCTATGCATGTAATTCATTAATTATATAATTATTCAAATGATCATGTACGATAATTTAACTGAATATCCGCATCAATCCATTGGACACAAAAATAAAATAAATAATGCTAATTTACCAATTAATTTATCAAATAAGTAACAATCAAACGAAGTACATTAACTAATAAATAGCATTTCAATCATTAATTAAAGTCATTTTAACTTATCTGCTATGATAAAATATTATAAGTTTTTGAATTTTGTTATAGAAACTTAATTTGGTCACGCAGGGAAGAAGAACCGTGTAGAAAGGGATGAGCGCAAAGGAACTTTGACGCGGTGATGGACGCTTTGATGCGGAATATTCCGACGGGAGCTCTGGCGACGGCCGTCGTCGTGCTCGTTGTCTTCGCCATTGTCGGCAAGTTTCTCATGCATCAGCGAAGACAAGCAAATTATCCTCCAGGTTCTTCGCCATCCCCCCTAATTTGTTTTGGCAAGAAAATTAGCATTTTAATATCCAGTTTCGTCGTCCGGTCTTTCAGCTTGATTCTCAACGAATCCCACTTTATTTGAAGAGAAATAATCAGTAAATTTCATATTCACTGAACATCGAAAACCTTATGTTTTATTTTTTGCCCCGATTAATTCGTCTCCCTTCCAATACCAGCATATCATTTTCTTTTCGCGTACACCAACCTAACCCCACTCTGCCGCAGATTTCTGCTAACTTTTGGCATTTCTCGTTGGGTTTTATCCTCCGAGCTGAACCACTCGTTAGAAATAAAAATTTGGTGCTTCAGAACAAATTTTTATTGGTATTTGCTTGATGGTTATTTTTTCGGGAGTAGTTTTTGTTTAGTGTTTGATTTCGTTGTTTGTTTTAGCTGTACCTGGTTGGCCATTAATTGGGAACCTGCTTCAGTTGAAGGAGAAGAAACCCTTCCTCACGTTCGTAAAATGGGCTGAAGTTTATGGTCCCATCTACTCGATTAAACTTGGTGCTTCCTCTATTGTTGTTCTCAACTCGACAGAACTTGCAAAAGAGGTACGAACAAACAGACTTGTTTCTTGTTTTTCTTTTCCCTCCAACTCCACAGCTGCGCAACTTTTCATTATTCTGTAATCTTTGTTGACATTTGGCTCAACTATTTGAGAAAGAAGATGAATTTAAAATTGTTGTTTTTAGGATATATAGAAGTATTCTTTTAGTTTTTGATAAAATCATGTTTATCATTTTTTTTTCATACTTCCAAGTCAAAATTTAAGTACGATCTAGATTAACAATTAACCTAAGTGACACTTTCTTAAATAGATTTTCAGGAGTTTTTATGGAGAAAGTTTTTGGTGTGGATTTACTGAATACAAACATGCATAGATGCAAATCCATACCAAATAATGTCTCGCTTTTATGGCATGTGCATTGGTGTGAATGTCGTGCTTTGTGCGGGCAAGTAACTGTTTTTTTAGAGTAAATAAGATAGAAAATGAGAGTGAGGGAGTTCGGAAGTTAAAAATGGGGAGTTGGCCTCGATTGGGGTGAATGTTATGAAAGTTGGGGTGAATGTTATGAAAGTAAGAGAGAGAGAGAGAGAGAGAGAGAGAGAGCATTCAAGCAAAGAACGATATTTTTGTTTTTTTTAGTTTCTATTTAGATCTTCTCTTTTTGGTACCTCTTTTCTCTTTTGTGTGATTCTCAATTGCATTTGATTATAAAAATATTGGATTTCTTTTTGTGCTAAGTAGATTGTTTAGTTTCTATTTAAATCTTCTCTTTTTGGTATCTCTCTTCTTATTTGTGTGATTCTTAATTGCATCTGATTATAGAAATATTGGATTTCTCTTTTTGCTAAGTAGATTGGGTGTATTTTGATTTTGAAAAAACCATTTTCTTTTGCCCTTTTTATTTTCACACCTATGTGGCTTTTTCTATTTTCATAATTTTTTTCTATCTTTGTAGCTTCTTTATAATGGATAAGATATTCTCTCCTCTCCTATTGATGTAGGTTTATTTGGCTACAACAACAACAACAACAACAAAGCCTTAATCCCACTACGTGGGGTCGGCTACATGAATCCTTTTTCTCCATTGCGTCCTGAATTACATAAATTTTGATACCACTTTGTCATGTATTTATTTTATGCATTCATTGCATTTATATTCGGTAGGCATTTTTGCATAAAAAATAACCAAGTGATTTTTTGGCTATATGATTTTGTCTTTTGGGATTTATTTGTATGAGGTGCTTAAAATGCAACGAACTGATGTAATATAGAGCACATAATTGGAAGTGGCATATTGCTGTTTAATAAAATGATACTTTTCGCATTATTTTCTTTGTTTGGTCCTCTTGTGCTTATGTGTTGTATGAAGTTAAATCAACTTTGACTTATAAATTTGAATTGCTTTAAGACCTATCTATATGATTGTAGAGACATCGAGAAAGTTGCATATGCAAATTAGTTATTTTGTAAGCATATTTTTATATAATATAAAGCTACCTTTTCAAAAAGTTAAGTTGGACAAACGAGAAACCAAAAGAAGCACGGTATTTTTTTTTTTTTTTTGAAAGATTGGTTGAGGAAATTCCTCATTCTATATTATGAATAGTCAATTGTTTTTTTTTTTAAATATTACAAAAGGGCTTATATGTGATGATTAGTCTATAAATTGTATCAATCAGGCTAGTTATTGAGAGGTGATATTTTTTGAAATTCTCATAAGCTTCGATTGCAAGCAGTACTAATTTCCCTCTTTTGGAAAGTTATGTTGCTGATAAAATATGAACAAGTGGGGATGCTATATGAACAAGAGGGGAGGGTTAAATGGGTACAAATAGCTGGTCTACTGAGAGAGAAAATGGAAAAGATAAGAAGAGAAATAAATAATAGATGAAGGAATAAAGATAGGGAGACTATTAATTTAATCATATGCATGAAGCTGTTTCCAATAATATATTAAACATTATAGCCCTTATGTAAACTCAAGGTTCACAATATTTGCCTAAAATACGACACAACTAATATGGAAGGAAATACTGAGTGATTATTAGATATAATGACATTTAAAATATGTTGAAATTAAATTTATAGGTGTTTTTTAATGAGTCTGAAAAAGAATCCTGACTAACATACTTGGCCTCCATCTATATGCTTTTGAGTTGGATGTCAATGGTTTTAAGAATCAACGTAAGGAAACAATGCTTTGTTTGAGGGAGTATCCTTCCGCTGATTTGGTGAAATTGCAATGTTCGTGCTGGCTTTTTAAAATAGCAAAGCTAAATCTCTCCAAGAAGTTATGCACTGCACATATACGCTTGATTATTATTTACATTGTCTGTTTTGAATTATTGATCATGAAACTTTATTATCTGTTGCATCATCTAGTTTATTTGATAAAGGTTTTTAATTTTTTTTTGTTGAGATGCTATAATTTCTCATCCGACATCACTGTAAATTCTTTATTTTTCAGGCTCTAGTGACCAAATTCTCATCCATATCAACGAGGAAGCTTTCTAATTCTTTGACAATTCTCACATGCAATAAAGCACTTGTAGCCATAAGTGACTACGGTGAATACCATAAAATGGTTAAACGATATATTATTTCTGGCCTTTTGGGAGCGAATGCCCAGGTTTTAAGAACACATTTGTATTATGTGATCCTCATCTATTTATTGTTAGGAGGTGCATGTTAACACCTTACTACTGCAACTCGTTTCATTTGTTATTTCAGAAGCAAAACCGTCATCATAGAGATGCCATGATAGAGAATGTTGTGACTAATTTGACTTCTAAGATCAAAGATGAAGATTTCTGTTTGGTGGAGCTTAGAGACCCATTTCAATCTGAGCTCTTTCGGTTGGCCTTTAAACAGGTACATCTCACCTCATACAAATCTAATAACACATGCCTGATTTATTTGAAAGGGGCTCTTTGGTATTCCATTAAACAGAAGAAAAGTATTCAATTAATAGCATAAGGTTGTCATATTAATTGTTGATGTTTTTTGTGTTTGATGATGCAATAAAATATTTGCAATATGTCATCAACTGTGTGCTGCATCATTAGGCATTTGTCGGGCTCTGTTAAGCTTTTTACTTGCTATGTCGGGATAGAAGAACATTATGACAAATTGAGTATTGTAGGATGGTTTAGTATCTACTGTTATTAATGCGACATATGATGATACATGCATAATCAATATCCAAAAAGTTACAACGTGTAGGTTACTAAGTATTAACCTTAACAAATTTTATGCTTAAATTAATTTTGATCACCCCGAACTCTATTTTTCTTGTTTTGTTTGTGTTGAGAGAGCTTTGAGGGTCAAATTTTCAGAAGACAAATAGAATAATACATAACACTACCTGGATATTTCACCCTCATTTTGGAAGTTATAAGTTCAATTAACTTAATTAATTCGAATTAAATCCTTAATCTTGTATCTATTGGAGCCAAGCGGCTCTCTCGCATCTTACTCGACATGCAATGACTCGATTCAAACTGAACGACTAAGATTTGAGGGAAGGTAAGTATAATGCCGCACGGTCACTATAGCAAACCGTGAACAGAGGAGGGAGAGCAATGGCCTGGGAGCCACAACTCGTAGTAAGGGCTTTTGGGGAGATTTTTCTAAGTGTGCGTTTGGGTAGCTTGTTCTTATCCAGATAAGCAGTTTATCCTGAAACGCGACCCGCGGGGTTTGACCCGTGGCTTGCGTTTAGTGTAAAAACTAAACCGCGTTTTAGGATAAGCTGCCGAAATGTATTTTCCAAACGGTGAGGTGGGGTCTTAAAAATGCCACCCGCACTTATAAGCTGTCTCAAACTGGCCCTAAGTGGGAATCCCTCTTTTATGCTATTCTAAAAATATTCATTTCCTTCTTGTTTTTGTTTTGATGTTTACTATGAATTTGTGCATTTACTTGTTTCTGATAGCTGTAGTATCCGTTGAACTTGTGTTGGGCACGTCGAACTTGGTTTGCGAGCTTTCATATGGTTTATTAGCACGAAGTGAGCAAGGGGAAGGGAAGGGTGAGGTGTTAGGAAAAAAGGAAAAATAATAGGCAGTATTAGGACAGATTGATGTGTGAAAAAATTGCATGAATTCTTTTTTATTTTTCACATATTTTTGAATCAAATTGCACTTTAAATAAGGATATTTTCATGTTTTTCTTGCAAGTTCAACAAATATTAGTACTGGAATGAAGTGGAAGGAACATGGAATGAAAATGAGAAGATTTGCAGAGAAAACAAGATTTATGAAGACAAGACCATGTTGCCACTATTGCAGCGCCTAGGCCCCAGTCCATCACAACCAAGGTCATGGCATCAAAAGCAGAGCACCTAGGCGCCAGCCCAGGATCTCAACGCCAGTCCATTGAATGCAAGGTTATGGTGCCAAGGCTCCAAACACCAAAGAGCAACCCGAGAGGTTGACGCCTAAGCGCCAACATTGGGCGCCATAGCCCCAGTCCTAAAGGTCAAGGCTACGGTGCCAGATTTCGCGGCTCCTAGGCACCAGTACAAAATTCTGCACGGTTTTGAGCAGTTTCAGCCATTACTTTGAGGCGGTTTTTAGGTGAATCAAGACAGTTTTTGGGAGTTATAAAAGAGCACTTACATGTGAAAATGGGGAAGACGCCCAAGGAGAAGAAAAAACTCTGGAGCAACACTTGGCTTAGAGAGGGATTCTTGAGAGAAATTTTCCTCCATCAATGTGAAAGTTCTTAAGCTTGTTCTAAGCAAATCTAGGGTGTGAGTAGTGTGATTTATATTTACTATTGTGTAAAGTGTTACAGGAGAGGAGCAAAAGAATTGGGTAAAGCATTCTCAAGAGGATTGAGAGAGTGAGATAAGTTTCTTTGTGCTTTTGTTTGTAATACCATTGTATGTTGAATCTATTTAATTCAAGGTCTTCTTGTGTTTTATCCATGAATTCTGGGTAGACTCCCTTTCTTTTCTTTGTGGTGATATAGTAAATATGTAAGATTGTTGGATTGAATGTGAAATAGTTTTTTATCTATATTTGTCATGGTTTTCTTTTGAACATACTTTACTTTTCAATCTGGGCAATTGATCTGTTAAAATATATTGTAACACGTAAGGATTCAGAAGAGCTACGACATGAACGACTAAGAAATCACATTGAACTATAATATATGAATCAAAGTACATTATAGAGAGATGCAAATGTTAGGGAGATGAATTTATTGGTGGATAACTTGGAGGATTCTAGGGTGACGGCCTGGACAAATTACTAAGTTAATTCTAACTTCTTTACATGCTCGGAAGAGGATAAACTATATTTATACTCCTATTTGTCACATACTTTATTTTAATTCACATTTATTCTACATCTACATATACTATAATCACCACATGGAATAACACTCTTAGCACTTGGTAGAAACAAATTTTCATTACAAAGTTTAAATTTCTATAGAAATAATTTTAGATTATTATGGTAGGATTAATAGCATAACTAAAGTAATTTAAAACTCCAAACTAAGAACGAATTTTGTAGACTAGAACATTTCCCTGTTTAGGTTTTCGTTGTTTCCTGTGGGTTTGACATTCTGGACTATTTTAGAGCCTTATATTACTGAAGCAATACATATACTTACGTGAAAAACCACAACGCATAAAAAATATTTCAAGAATTTAAATTAATTTGTTAGAGAGCGAATCAAGATTTTTGGTGCTATTATCTGGACTAACACAATTGTGACACACACTGTCGGTGGATCAAGTTTTTGGCGTCGTTGCCGGGAAAACAAAACGACAAATAATTTAGAATAATTTTTAGTTGAACTATTATAAATTAGATTTGAAAAACTTTTTTATTTTTTTATCTTTGTTTTTAATTTTAGAAAAAAGACCTATTAAGTTTGCCTTTAGAAGTGAATGTGTAGACCAAATCCAACTCAACTTGAACACTTTGATTCCGAACTAGATAGAACTATTAGAAAAATCAGAAAATAAAAAAAAAATAGTGAAACTGAAGGAGAAATATCTACAAATCAGCATATTAACTTAGACAACCAAGAAACATTAATGAAAATCATAACGTACAAAGATCCTTAAAGGATTGCGCAAATCCTACAACAGATGAAATACATTTTATCAATCAAGAAGGAAATTAGGAGTTTTCTATAATTAGAAGCTTCCTTATTTCCAATATCTTTATTCTGATTTATTTTCATTTTATTTAGCTTTTTTCATTTTAGCTTAATATTTAGATTAGGAATATATATTATTAAGTTACCTAAAATAGATTATGCACTTTATTTTGTACCTAAAATAGATTGTAAGATTGTTATTTAATGAAATGAAAGCGAAGGGAAAAGGCAATTGAGCTTATTCAAAATTCAGTTTTTTTTCCTCAAAATTTTGACATGGTATCAGAGCCAAGTTTTATCCTAACCACCGATAATCGTTGAAGGAGCCTCAAAACTCCCTTCTCGCCAACCTTCTTGCGGGAAGCCTTCTTGCGGGAAGGGCCTTCTTGCGGGAAGGGAGGAACTACTTCTCCGCCTTCGATTCGCCTTCTACCGGGTTGCAATTTCCTCCATCTACGTCCTCTCCCTCTCGTGCCTGGGCTCGCCGACAGGTTTAGGGTTACGGCTCCGCTCACCCGACCGTAGAATTTCAGCTCAATCGTCTATGGCGCCACCATCCTTGGCGCAATCGCCTCCATCATCGGCGTTCTTCGCCATCTGCTTTCTTCATTTGATGGTAGCGACGACGTGCGGAGCACTGATGATGTTCTACCTGAACGAAATCTTTGTATTTTGGTCACGAGCCGGAGACTGCAAGGAAACTGCAGGGCTCGATGCACCTCGATCAGTTTCTGATCCAGATCTCAGACTCCTTCTCGAGATTGCTATTGTTCGCCATAGGATTCCTTCTCTTCATGGTTTCCTTCATCAACGATCACAACTTTCAAACTTTCTTCGCTAGAGGCATCGAGCCTATTCGGAATTCAGCTTATTACGCCTTGCTCTCTAGACGACGAAAGCCATCCTCGCGCTTCACTGTTCTCATCCGTCGATTACCCACCGCAATGTGAAGTCGGGGAACGTGCTTACAGACAAACGGTTTAATGCACGTCTCGATGATTTTGGTTTCGCTCTCAAAAGCGATGGATATGAGAAGGAAGCCGACAGAATCAATTCCTCTGTTCGCTCCACACTGTTTGCAGGGACTAGGGTATCATCTTGTGGAATACAATGATTCTTGGGTTGAAAAAGGGCTTTTATGTCTGTATTATTATTCATCCGATTCAGATCTTCTTCACTAGGCATCACTGCTTCTGTGACATCTTCGATTGCTTCTTACGCTTCGCTTCATCTGCCTTGGCTTCGGCTTCGGCACTCATTCCTAGATTGATGGCTTTGACTTCGGCAAACCATAGATCTCTTGGGCTTCGGCACTTTTGGGCTTCGGCAATCTCAGGCTTCGGCCTCTAGAGCTTCGGCCCTCTCGGGCTTCCGGCTTCTCGGGCTTCGGCATTTTGGGCTTAGGCATTTTTTGGGCTTCGACATTTTTAGGCTTCGACACTCTCAGACTTCGGCATTTATGGGCTTAGGCATTTTTCAGGCTTCGACACTCTTGGGCTTCGGTATTTATGGGCTTCAGCATTTTTAGGCTCGACGTTCTTAGACTTTGACACTCTTGGCTTCGGCATTTTCAGTCTTCAGCACTCACGACTTGAGGATTTTTTATCCAGGTAATGTTATCAATTTCTTGTTAGCAAATTTATATATCCTGATCAGTCAACATCAATTTGAAGGGGGATATCAATCAGGAAGGACAGAAATCAGGCAGCTAAATTAGAAGTTTTCTATAATTAGAAGCTTCCTTATTTCCAATA